AATGTCTCATATATAAAATAATGACCATACCAAATCCTGGTGCAGTTTCAAAGAAACTGTCTCTCATACATTGCTGGTTAGAATGTAAAATGGTACAGTCTGGAAAAATGATTTTACTTCTTAAAATCGAAGTATTCACTACCATAGGACCCAGCAATTCACTCCTGGGCATTTATCACAGATAAATGAAAACTTATGTTCACACAAAACCCTGCACATGAATATGCATAGCAGCTATATTCATAATAGCCAATAATTAGAAATGACCAATCTATCCTTAAACAGGTGAATGGTTAAACTGTGATATATCATGAAATACTACTCAGCAATAAATGAAACTATAATACAACAAGTTGAATGGATCTCAAGGGTAGTGACTGAGTGATAAAGGCCAACCTCAAAAGCTTACATACAGGCAAGTGTGGTGGCGCACACCTGTAATCCCAGCAGCTCAGGAGGCTGAGGCAGGAGGATCTCAAGTTCAAAGCTAGCCTCAGCAATGGTGAGGTGCTTAGCACCTGAGTGAGACCCTGTCTCTAAATAAAATACAAAATAGGGTTGGGAGGTGTCTCAGTGGTCCAGTRTCTGTGAGTTCAATCCCTGGTACCAAAAAAAAAAAAAAAAAATACAGGTTGCTCTGATGGATACACATATCCAGATAGTTGATAAAAATGACATAGGACTTTACACACACATTTCCCCAGCGTCCTTTTCTTGGCTGTGATATTGTACTTGACTTACATGCAATATCCATTGGGGGAAACTGAGTGAAGGATACATAGAATCTCTCTGTACTAGTTGTACTACCTTATAACCCAAAATCTTTACTACCTTATAACCCAAGTAAAGTTTTTAAACACCCTAGAAGAGATGACATTGCACTTTGACAATCTTTGATAGAATGCTGTTTTAGATGTGTCTGAGATTACTTTTTTAAAAAAAAAAAAAAAAAACAGAGATAGAATATTTCTCTCTTAGACACATATACCGTAGTGTTTACAGATGGAATCATGCCATGACTTGAATGTGCTTTAAAAAATCATCCAGTGGGGAGGAAAATTAGATGATGAAACAAAATTCATGTTGAGAATTGTTGAAATTGGACACTGGTTATACAAGATTCCTTGTACTGTTTTTCTCCCTTTGTATATAGTAGAAGCATTCCATAACAAAACAACTTTAAAACATAAATGAAATAAAAATTATGGGGGTGGACTTGGTACTTTTGACTGTGTACAAGGTCAGGAGCAAGGTCCTTGACTTCTTCTTGCAAACTGAGCTCAGCCACAGCTGCCAGGCTAGAGAAAGAGGGCTTCCCGGGTACCCTTTCACCATACTTTTGTCCATATGCAGCTACATGCATGAAGCTTCAGTGTTCTTGGCATTAGCTCTGCCAGGCCACTTGTGCTCTAGCTTTCCATTTGTTCTTRCATCCACACATCCATCTTTCCCAAGGGGACTGGGGATTGAGCTCAGGGACACTGTACCATAGACCTACATTCCCCTTTTATTTTGAGACAAGGATGCTTTACCACTGAGCTACAGCCAGTAGCTCATTTCATTTTTTTTATTTTGAGTCTTGTTAAGTTGCTTAGGGCCTCATTAAGTTGCCCATGTTGGCCTGGAATTTACAATCCTCCTGTCTCAGCTTTCCCAGTCACTAGGATAATAGGCAAGTGCCATCATGTCCAGTCTCGTCTCTCCATTTTTTAATTCCTATGATTCCTATGTTTAGTCTCTATCTAGCCACCATCCTTCCATCTGTTTACTTTTTTATTTATCTAATACTGACTGAATATCAACATCAGGGAAAAGGGCATGGCTACTGCCTTCAAATAATTCACAGTCTAGCTGGGGAGAGAAGCTAACACAATGCAGAAAAGAGTAAATTAGAGGCAGCATTAGTTCCTGGAGGAAGGGATCAGATAAGGCTTGCACAGGGAGCAAATATGTCAGAAGAAATGCTGTCACCTTTGTTGGGCCCATGCAAATAATCCAGGATAATCTCCCTATTTCAAGGTCAGCTGATAGTGCTGTAATTCCATCTGAAACCTTAATTCCTTGTTGTCACGTAACAKAACATGGTCACAGGCTCTGAATAAGATATTTTTCATATTGTAGAGAGCATTATTCTGCCTACCACAAGAACAGAGCCCAGATACAGACCCATCCACATGAAACATGATTTAAAACAAGAACAAATAGATTCGTTGGAAAGGTTCACCTATTCGGCAAATGGTGCAGAGACTATTAATTATTCTTACAGAAAAAAAAATGAATTCGGATTCCTACCTCAGACCATACATAGAAATCATTTGCAGGTAGACTTAAAACTTACATGTCAAAAAAAAAAAAACCTACAAAACATGGAAAGACAACATAGGGAATATCTAGGGAAAAATTTCCTAAACATACAAAAAATACAAATCACATAGGACATGACTGACAGGTTTGTCTATATCAAAATTTCAGCATTTCAGCTCATCAAAAGTTAAAAAAAAAAAAAAAAACAAGACTGACGAGACAAGCCACAGTTGGGCTCAGTATTGCATGCCTGTAATCCCAGTGACTCAGGAGGCTGAGGCAGGAAAAACACAAGTTCAAGACCAGCCTCAGCAACTTAGCAAGACCCTGTCTCAAAATAAAAAGAGCTGCAATGTAGCTCAATGGTAAAGTACCCCTGGTTCAATTCCCAGTATTAATTTAAGGGAAAAAAAAAGATAAGCTACAAATCAGGGGAGAATGGTTGTGACACAGATGGGTGACACACATCCATTTGTTTTTGCATCCCATCAAAAATGGGAGGATATAGATGGAGATATAGATAGAYAGATATAGATATAGATATAGATACATACATATACATATGTATAGATATTAAAGATAGTGCAATGAAAATGAGTAAAATTCATAGGTGTTTAAACATTAAAGGAAACAAATGACATAAAGTGTAGATAAAATCCTCAACTCATTAGTGATCAGAAATGTAAATTAAAACCACAGTAAGATATCACTTCATACCCATTAGTCTCTCAAAAGCTGCTTGATATTGCCCATCCCAAGAGTTGGCCAGGATGTAGAGCAATCTGAATATTAATATTCCACTGCTGAGAGTCTAAGTTGGTACAATAGCTTCAGGAAATTGCTTAAGTTACCCAGGACCCAGAGAAGCCACACCTAGGTGTCTTTACCCTAGAGTATGTATTCATACCAGGTGGGCTGATTTCTCCCAAAGTGAGCAAAAAACAGCTATTTACAATGGCCCGTGGCCCTCAAAAGAGCCACATAATRTGAGCAATACACAGTATACCTATGGTATTGATATTTCATGGGAGGCAGGATGGGATTAAGAAAACTGTGTTAAAGGCTCATTAGGGGTCAATAATGAAAACAAGGTTGAGAAACACTGTCCTAGAAAACGTCCTGGTCATGTGCCCAGGAGGTGTGTAAATGTGTCTAACAGCAGCATCAGCAACAACACAGGAAACAACCCATCCTTCCCCAGAAGTACAGCGGATACACAATACAAGAAATATTCATAAAACCCAAGCCTGTGTCTCAGTAAATGTGAATCCATCACAGCTAAACAAGCAGAGGAGTGAGAAGAGCCAGCCAGGGAATAGCTGATGGATAGTTCCATTTATATAAAGTCAAAACCAGGCAAAATCACTTCTAGATGACCACTACTTACAATACCTAATACAATGTAAATATTATGTAAATAGTTGTTATACTGTTATGTTCAGGGGGAAATGACCAAAAAAAAGGTCTGGACATGGTCYGTATAGACACAATTAAAAATATATATTTTCGGTCTGAGGTTGGTTTAAAAAAAAAAAA